AAAAAAGAATAAGTGAACAAGCAGCAATCTAAACATAAACTAGAGGACTATTCCCATGACCTATGTTTAGGGGAAAGAAATAGAAGAAAATGTAGAGAATTAATGGACGACCGATTTAGAGGCACACTCGTTGTCTTTAGAAAACGTAATAATTACTTCAGACCATTACACATAAGCTGTTGGACTAAAATTGTCCTGTCCCATCTCAGATATTAAGTTAAAGGAGTCTGATGGCATGACATTTTCTTCAACACTAAGTGATTAGGATATAAAATTTCAAAAAAAAATGAACATTATGAATTAGTTCTGCTAATTTAATGCCTTTTTTTGTTAGCATAAAGACAACAAAATCAGCAGAATTACATGATGAGATGACCTCCACCCACAACAATAAAAACTGCTCTGCTCAGGCAAGCTCACTGAAATCTAAAACCCAAACACAACTATGGAAAAAATCAAAGTGCAAAAATGTGATATTCTCAATATTGCCCTTTGAAAAGTCCTTGCTATGTTACGTAGTAATTGACTGGCATAACTTTGGAAGAATCAATCTGATCATATCTTTGATTTAAACACACTGCCTCTCCCCCCGCCCCTGTTTTTGTTTTTTGGTTTTAACAGATTTGTGATTTTTTTCCCAAGATTTTATTCAGTCATTTGACAGAGAGAGAGAGAGAGAGTGAATGTGTACACAAGCTGGGGGTGGGTGGGGAGCAGGCTCCCTGCTTAGCAAGGAGCCTGACATGGGGTTCTATCCCAGGACCCTGGGATCATGACCTGTGCCGAAGGCAGATATGTCACTGACTGAGCCACGCAGGTGCCCCTGGATTTGTGACTGACTGACCGACTGACTGATTTTTGGTTTGGAATGCATGTAACCGCATGAAAATTAGAAGGGAAACGTAACATCTCTTTAGTATTTGAAGGACAAGTATCTTCAATTGTTCCGATGAGGCCTTCCTGATCCGATATTTAAGCTAAACACACTTTCATCTTTAAGATAAAGGCGTTTGACCACAAAGAAGGAAGTTTACTTGCATGGAGTTAGTTGCGGTGAGTCAGTCCATCGGCTAGTGGGGCATTCCCTCCAATAACACTGCGGAGCACGGGTCAGGAGCCAGGTGCTCTGGACTCTGGGCATCCACGTGCAGGGAGGCGCTCATGGCCCTAAGTGCCCTCAGCTCTCCCGTGCTCTTGGCAGCACTGCTGGGCTTTCCCAGGTTCAAAGAGGTTAAGTCACTGACTCAAGCTCGGGGCCGAATGTAGACAATAACCTAGTACCAGAGGTACGTCTGCCTCACCACAGCTGGCCCCAGGAGCTATAAGGGAAAGTCCATAATTTATTCAGTAAGACTTTGAGACTACGAAGTGCTCATTAAATCTCAATAGGTTAAGTCCTGAGTTCACCTCCAGACCAAGCCCAGAATAAATCATCTTATTTTACGGTCCCATCACCTATCTATTTAATGTGAGACCAGGAAGCATTTTCCTATTACTGCATACAGACAGACTGCCTTCCCTTTTGCTCTGACCATTTGATCTTTTAAAGAGCTAAACAAAAAGTATGGCCCTCCAGGAAGGGCTCTGGCCTCATCTTTCTGTAGGTCACCGGATGTGTCCTAGATTAGTTTCGGGAATAATCTATCAAAGATTTTCCAGTGCTGTGTAATAATAGACTAGGACAAAGGGCATCCTTTTAGCAAAGAATATTTTGTAGGCAGCTTTATAAAACCATTGGGAAATAATATCTTGAAAAGAACCTAGTAAAATATATTATCTGAAATACAAGTGTGATTGGTCATCAATTAATATGACCAAGACCTCTCCTTCTTTCTTCATTACCCTCAAGTTTCCAGTTTCTCTCCAACAATAATCAAATTTGTGAAGTGAGCACTAACTGAATCAAACAGAAGATTTAAACATGATAAAAGAATCTCGCATTCCATTAATGACAGCTCGTAAAATAACAATGGCTGGCCATTTTGCGAAATGGCAATGTCAAGGAAATACATCTAGTCTCATAAAGCTATCTGTGCCTTCCTAAGGAAATGATTTGTGGCCTGCATTACACAGGATCAAATACATGAACAAAAGTAAGAGTCAGTTGCCCATACCAATAAGTTTAAAGTATGCATTATTATTGTTTCAGACGATGGCTTTGTTATTCATTTCACGATTACTTACTAAGCACCTACTTACTAGGCACTAAGCAAGGGGGTGCAGTGATGAACAAGACAGACTTGGTCGCTACCTCCATAAATCTCACAGTCTAGGAAGCAGGTATTTTTAAAAATATTTACCAAAAGGGCTCCTGGGTGGCAGGTTAAGCCTCTGACTTCAGCTCAGGTCATGATCTCAGGGTCCTGGGATGGAGCCCCACATCAGGCTCTCTGCTCAGCAGGGAGCCTGCATCCCCTCTCTCTCTGCCTGCCTCTCTCCCTACTTGTGATCTCTCTCTGTCAAATAAATAAAATCTTAAAAAATATATATTTACCAAAAAATATACTATTATAAACAGTGATAACTGGGATAAAGAAAAGTTAGATTTTTGTTTCAGGAAAAGTGTAAGTAACCCTGATATTTGAAAAACTGCCTCTCTGAAAAGTGATGTATTACTGGCAATTCTAGTGTGGCTTCTGGTGCTTCCCAGGTCTTGCAGTTAAAAGGCTTCACTGTTTTAAGTCTTATTACATCATCCTATTGTAATTGCAGAGCAATGCAGAAATTGAGAGATGCACAAGCAAGTATAGATAAGGTGCTATAGAGATACAGAGGTAGGACTTGCAATCAGGGAACAAGCAGCAACTCGGTTTGGCAGAATCCTCAGGAAAATGAAGTAGGGAAATAAAGTTAAGGCTGGAAATGAAGGAAGGGGCTAAGGTATAGAGAACCTAGAATAACAGACTAGTTCCCAGACATTTTTAATAGGGAAAAGGCAATCTCTGAGGGGGCGCCTGGGTGGCTCAGTCAGCTAAGTGTCTGGCTTTGGATCAGTTCATGATCTCAAGGTCCTGAGATTGAGACCCACGTCGGGTTCTGTGTTCAGCAGGGAGTCCGCTTATCCCTCTCCCTCTACCCCTCCTCCCACTAGCCCACTCTCTCTTGCGCTCTCTCAATAAATAAAATCTTAAAAAAAAAATAAAGAACTTAGAAGGTTGTTATTTCAGGGAGATTTTAGAAGCAAAAGGCAAAATATAGGCAAAATATAAAAGGAAAAGCGAAATAATGCTTATGAATATCATTTAAGTGACTACCTCAGTAATTGGCTAATAAGGGTGTGGATTACTAATGTTACCAAGGGGACTGAAGAGATTATAGGTAAGCTACGCTGAGGAAAAATAATTGTTGTGTCAGTAACTTACTAGATATGTAAAAGAGACCTTTGAGTACTGAAGTCCGGGACTCCAAAGAGAATGGATGAGCTATTTACATAAAGCCCGGTGGTTAGAAAGGAGCTTGATTTTGACCCAGCTGAACCTGAGGTACTGGTGACACATCTAGTTGAAGCTTATCGGAGAAGGCAGGACCAGAAGTACAGATCTGTCATCCTTTCAAGGTGACTGTTGATGTTGGAAGGATAGGCAAAGAAGAGAACACAGTTAGGAGCACCTGGGTGGGTCAGTGGGTTAAGTCTGTGCCTTCGGCTCAGGTCATGATCTCGGGGTCCTGGGATCGAGCCCCGCATCGGGCTCTCTGCTTGGCGGGGAGTCTGCTTCCCCTACTCTGTGCCTGCCTCTCTGCCTACTTGTGATCTCTCTGTCAAATAAAAAATCTTAAAAAAAAAAAAAAAGAGAGAGAAAAAGAGCACAGAGAAAATTGCTGAAGGCAGAATTTTAGGGGAACCTTAAACTTATAATGAAATGATGCAGAAAAAGAGAACTTGGGAAAGTAAATGAATGAGAATTAATGGAGAATAATAAAACCAAGGGAATGGGATGAGAAAGGAGTCAGTGAAGTTAAGTGCTAGGGAGAGATAGAAGGATCTAAGGAATGAGAATATGTATTAGATAGTGAAGGAAACTAATCAACATTTCAAAGTCCAGAGCCAAGTCTCAGGAGTCATGATTGCTGCCACAGGCCTGCCAACTCTGGGTAAGGCTCTATCCTCTTTTAAGATTCCACGAGAGCCTGAATGGTGCAGTGGGTTAAGCATACGACTCTTGGTTTCGGCTCAGGTCATGATCTCATGTTCTTGAGATCAAGCCCTGTGTCTTGCTCCACATTCAGAGTGGAGTCAGCTTGGGAATGTCTTTCCCTCTGCCTCTGCCCCTCTTCCTAAATAAACAGACCTTTAAAAAAAAGGGCGGGGGGGAGAAGATTCTAGACAATTTCCTTTGCCTTATCTGTGATAGACAGATTTCTCTAGCAAATATTAAATGCAAAAAAAAAGCAAAGTGTAGGGGTGCCTGGGTAGCTCAGTTGACTAAGCAAACGACTCTTGATTTTGTCTCAGGGTCCTGAGATCAAGCCCTGGGTTGGCCCCATGCTGAGCATGGAGCCTGCTTATAATTCTCTCTTCCTCAGCCCCTCCCCTGCTCTCTCTCCAACACAACACAAAACAAAAAGGAAAGAGTACACATCTACATTTTTGATTAATATGAGATTATATGGGGAGAGTATCATCAGGCCATCATCAATACTCCATTCTAACAGGCAAAAAAACTGAAGCTCCTGAAAATGTTCAGACTATTCACGAGATCGGTAACCTAGTAAGTGGATGGCCGGCTCCTAAATTTCTATTTAAGTGCCTTGTCTACCCATTAATTTATTATAACATATAGTCAGGTAGGCTTAGGATAGAGTTCCAAATACTTTTTTAGAAGAGGTTTCACGATAGGGGTTTTTCTTTAATCACGTCTCAGTGCATGAGCTAATATTGAGTAAAAACATAGTACATAAGTCATTATAGCAGATTAATATCACAATTTATATCACAGTATTTGCTAAATCTTGGAAAAGTTGAATTAAAGATTCAGTTAGGGAATTACGGATTTACATACCTGTGGTACCCATCTGGAGGACACAAAGCTGGTCACTTCTATAACAGACAAGCCAGTTTGGGAAAGTTGGTTGATAAATTCAATTTTTATATCTGTAGGAACTATTACCTATAAGAGCATTAAAAATTATTTTGTAAGTACTTTGTATAAGGTCTATGGAAGCATAAACAGAAAATAACTTCCTAACAACAAAATACATTTAATATGCATACATTTAATAGCAATTCAGAACAAACATAATCATGTAATCTATGAAACGCATGGAAATGTTTAGAATCTTAGTAAATATTTTAACTTAGCATTTGAAATAAACTGTCTAAAACTAATATCAAACTACCTTTTCATTCTGCAGTCCATCCCTAGGTCCAACTTCCACTATTTTAACATACTCAGGGAGTCCAGATAACTGGGGTGTTTCCTGAAATGCAAAATACAAGGCAAGAAAAACAGGTTAACCGTGAAAACATAAAATTTGTTTTTTTGAAAAGTCAATCAATTACACTTTGTTAACTAAAATTCTCACTCCAGAAATGTAAAATAGCAAGAAACCGACACAATGCTACAACCCAAATATCAAGTTTATATTATTGGCAACATGAAGTCATTTTTTTCTTCTAGCTCAATAATATTCAGTCTAATTATGGTCACAACTGGAAAGATTAATTTTTAAAATATAACTGTGGAAATGTAACATACTCAGGATCTAAAGAGCAAACTGTTAAATAACTACACGTGATGATAAATTCACCATTTTTAGAATTAATTTAAAAATTATATCTTTTGGGGTGCCTTGTTTGCTCAGTCAGTTAAGCGTTATGGCTTGGTTTCAGTTCAGGTCGTGATCTCAGGGTCAGGAGATCAAGCTCTGTGTCCGGATCCGTGCTTAGCACAGAATATGCTTGGGAATCTCTCTCCCTCTGCCCCTCCCACTCATGCTCACTTGCTCTCTTTCTTGAAAATAAGTAAATCTTAGAAAACAGAAATGAAATTAAAATAGAAGTCTGTTGTATTAACAGACTTCTACTGAGCACAGTCATAAAGATGCCACACTCCATGAATGCGGCCCTGGTTTTCTGTCCTGTGCCCAGAATGCTGAGGCAGGAGAAATGGGTCTGCTGTTTATTTCCTTTGTCACAAGGCACAACCAGCACCAGAACACAGCTTGCAGAAGGTCAGAGCCCCTCCACGGGGACCTAAACCCTCAATAATCTACTGGGAACATCTAACTCTAAGCCCAGTGCAATGCTCTGTTCTACCTTTTGGTCAAATCTGGAATGGCAGAGTGTCTGGACTCTGGAAACTCTGGCCCTGAACCAAGTATTATGCACATGTCATATTTAGAAAGACATTAGTTTAAAACAGGAAAAATATAAACAATCTTTCTAAACATCATATTGTAGTTAATATTGGAATCATCTCCTGGTCTCTCCGAGCCATGTTAAGTGAGTGTAACTACCATCGATTTCTTCAAGGAATCGCTGACAGAATCGATCAAAATCAGCAAGACCTGTACTTCTCAGTGGCTTTGATTTTGCCTTTCAATAGGAATCATGAGTGTGGACTAACCAATGTGTATTTTCTCACTCTTTCCTTGTGGCAATCATCGACATACACTGGTGAAGTGGCTGGTTTGGAGGCAGAACCCAGTCTGTTTCTATGACACCAAAAAATGCTCCCTGGCACTTTTAGGGCTCATAGCCAATATGTTGTTTTATTGACATTCTGTGTTATCTCAGTCAAGAGACATACCCAGATGATCCCTGCTACAGATGCTCCACATTTCCATGAAATCGGGCAATCCAATAAGCAAAAATTAACCACAAAGAAAAAGAACTCCCATCTCTACACCTTCTGAGCAGGCTGGAATCCATGCAGCTGGACGGGTATAGGGTTGAGAGAGGAAGCATGGGGTTATGGGGGCCGCTCAGCTTTAAGCTCAGCTTGGGATGGCAAGCAAGAAACCATGTCTCCTTTACAGTGGTCATAACTGCAAGCAGGCACTGAAGGACAGATGGCAGGGGAAGGTGCAGTAAATAAGAGAAGTTCACTCTTCTTTAATGTCACCTCTAGCCCTAGGATTGCAGTAACGAAAAACAAAACTGGCCAATCTTAAACCGTGTTTTTTCATTATCGCGGATTGTTTCCTGAAAGTGCACTTGTAACAGCAATTAGCTTGGAGCATACACGGCTGCAGAGGACATCTTTATTAAACAGCAGTGCTTTAACCACCACAAGGAACACAGTGTTTTCTAGGGTATTACAATTTGCTGAATGCAATAAAAGAACTCAAAGCCCTCTTCTGTAACTTTGCTGTAGCTAGCTAGCAGAAGGAACAATCTGGAAGGAAAAAAAAAAAAAATCTGAATCCCCTACCCAATACAGCCATTTCAGTCAGTCAAAGTGTTAGGTAGAAGCTAGATATGAGCGCTGGAGGGAACACCATGAGGCAGAGTCCCAGGTCCCGGAAGGGGAATGATAGAGACATGAACTAGAGGCAGGGATGGTGACAAATAAGCTACACATTAAAAGCCAGGGAGCACTACATCCTGACCTTGTGGTTTCTGAGCCCTTGAGGCTGACAGACCAAAGAGGTTGTGGAACATGCCCTCTTCTCTTCCACCTTTGCCCCAGGGAAACTTCTATAGTCATTATACTGCATCTGCATTATGGGTACAGCCCTGCAGGATGGAGAAAGCCTGGTATGACGGTGTGTAGTACAAACCTCATAGGATCCAAAATTCCCCCTCCTAACCTGTGGGAAGAATTCCCCATGTGACTGGAAGCAACCTCCATCAGAGAACACCCCAAGGCACTTTACTGCTCCTCCCAGACCAGAGAGACCCAATAATATCCAATCCATAAACAGCCTAGGGGCTGCCTCCACCTCATGGAACTGACCACTCTCCCACCTTGAGAGTCTGCCTCTGCTTTAATAAACTGCTTTGTGCTTGCTACGTTCCTTCTGGTGGTCTTTATTCCAACACGGATCCCCTCGTAAATCTTCCCGTGGGGAATCCAAGGTCCGAGATCTTCTTCCCACCCCACCACTTACACTCTCTCTCACTCATAACAAAAGCGGTGTACGTGCTCAGTTGATATTATTTTAGATTTCTTCGTGAATATCATGCTATTCTTTTGTCTTTCTAGGCATGAGTATTGTATTCCCTCTAGCAGTGTATCTGAGAAATCAGAAGAAAGTTCACATGTGTTCAGTAAGCTCAAAGAGTTAACGAGTTCTCCTTGGTGATCTCTGGTCTTTTTCGAGGCATTACTATATCTGTATGGATTTCTCTAAGGAGCTGTAGCTATATATCAGCAGGGCCTAATGAAAAAATTCACCTAAATGCTATACAAGCCCATAGAAGTCAGTGATTCAAAACCGATCTCGTGACTTTCCCCACCTCATGCCCCTCCTCAGATATTTCTCCACCACAAGCTACTGATACCTAAGTGGTCCATTTACTACTGGTTTGAGTTTGGCATATTCCTAGCATCGAGCACAATGCCTAATGCTTAGACTATGCTTGATAATTACCCATTGATTGTATTAGTGAACCTCTTCTTTCACTGGCTTCATTAAAATCATTTTTTTCCCTCAGTCTGTTGTTATAGCCTCCCTAAGTAGTCTTGCTAACTTGTTTTTCCAGCATTAGAATCTTTCAGCATCCAGCAGTCACCTTCAGAGACTAAGGTGAAATGATTCACGACAAGCCTCTCATCTTCTACCACTCTGCCCTTCAGGCATCCTCTGATTTTAGCCATGCCAAAGTCATGTCTTCCATACTTTAATGTCTGTACACATGAAGTTTCTATTGGTAGGAAATACCTTCTGTCTATGGGAAAGACTTTTCAGCAAACCCATTGGTCTTCTTCATGGACTAAGGACTGGCCTGCATTTCTCCCATGTCAGAGTTACTTCTGAACAAACTCCAGTCAATGGAATGTAAAGGTGAAAGATATAGACTACTTTTAGGCTTGGCCCATGAAAACATCCCATGCACGTCCCCTCAAGTGCCCTCCCCTTCAGTCAGCCTGATGCCAACGAGTATGGCAAACTTGAAGCTGACAAAAACAAAACAAATCATAACAAAAAATTAAAGAGCCTATCTCTCTGAATCACTGCTTAAGAATTCTGTGTCAATAAGAAGCAATTATTTTATGTTTTATGTGAACAAAAATGTTCTCTTAGACCATTTAGATTAGAGGTGTATCTTTATAATTACTAACTGAAGAATGGGAAAGGTCTGAAATTTTAGCCCACCTGAAAGCTAATTAGTGAGCCTGCCAAGGATGCAGGTGGAAGGCGTAAGACTCCTGGGTGAGAGAAACAAAGCTTATTACAACAACAGCAGTAGCTAGAGGATCAGAGTTTGTGCTGGGTCCCCAAGCCCCAGTTCCCACAGAGAGAAGCAAAGAAGACAAGGTAACACTTGTACAAGCAATGCGTTGCATTACAGGAAAGGAATCCCAAGCCTAGTGAACTCGAAACTCTGGTAATGGGTGGTAAGCCTATCTCCATGGCTATAGAGATTAACATCATGTTTATTATACTTGACTCTGAGAATGCCTACATGTTGCTTTAGAGGAAGACAGTATCTCCATATTCTAAGATTTTGATCACCCTTAGCCTCTGCTCCAGAAGGAGACACTCTATCATGTAAAGCTGTTCCCAACACAAAAATTCTTGAAAAGATTGTTTGGAACCAAGGCACTTGAAACTCTGCTTATAGACATAGAAATTCAAGACACACCTGGAGAATTTTTTCCCAATCCTACCCATGCTTCATTTTTACACTGTCTTGATTTATGGCAAATTTTCACAATTACGAGGCTACTATGTTGGCTCCTCCAATTACAAACAAAGGCTGGGGCCAAATTTGTTCAACTGATCTCATGAGACATTTAATTAAGACTACTCTCAACAGAACTACAAGCAGCAGAAGGCAACTGGCAGTGTTGCCCTCATCCTCTTCTGAAGTGTCTTAGACCCAATCAGCTGAATAAATCCTACGCAGTAGAGGCCTCTGCACCAGAAACTAAGAGCTGTTTACTTGGTGCCCATCTTTTGATGGTGGGCATGTTGCCACGCTCACCACTAGGACCGATCCAGATAGCAATGACGGCACTCCAGTGATGGAGACTCGATCAGCAGCTTGATTCCGGGGCCTCAGCAGAATATGGGCCTCAGGTGATTCAATCAGCACAATTCATAGCACCCAAACATGTATCTTTGATTGTCAATCCGTGGATGTCCAAATGGCAGAGAAGTTAGATTGATCACAACCCCAAAGTAAGCCAGAAAAATGGTAATAGCCTTGAGTTCTCCTGAATGGGTGGAGTAACCACTACCATTTTTAGTTCTTTGCAACTACAGCAGGGGTTTTACAACTGCAGTAGCCCTATGGACATCATCAGGTC